AGAGAGAGACAGAGACAGATAGAGAGAAGAGAGAAGGGAGAAAGAGAAAGACAGAGAGAGAGACAGAGAGAGAGAGACGGAGAGAGAGAGAGAGAGAGAGAGAGAGAGAGAGAGAGAGAGAGAGAGAGAGAGAGAAACTGCTGGGCTGTGGATTACAATTCCCATCCTCCTTGACCATGATAATTGACAAGTCTTCAGCAGGATGTCTGGCCAAATAGTTCCGCTGTTAGTCGAAGTGTCCAGCTAGCTGAAGAGGGCCCCGAGTTCTAATCCCTCCTCAAAGAAAGGTTGATGGCCACTCCTCAACCTACCTTGCAGGGTTGTTTGGAGGGTGACACGGAGAGGGAAACTGAGCTTCCCGGAGGATGGCCTGTCATTTGGGGGCGAGGGGGGGGTTGCATGAACGAGGCTCCGTTTCCATCTGCAAACATCGTCTTGCCTTTAGGAGAAGAACTGGTGAAACGCTGCACGGTGACATCCCCGACCAAGTGCGAGCCTTGCGATGAGAATTACTACAACGACGCCTATACCTACTCACGGTGTAAACCTTGCACCGACTGTAACACTGGTAAGGCCCCGTCGGCAAACGAGACCACCGCAACCTCCTTCCTGGCTTCCTTCGCAGGAAAAAGTGTTGTTTTGTGGTTTGACAAATGGTGGCTTAGGTCTGGGTTGGTTTTGAATGGCTTTTTCCTGTGTTATAAATCTAAAACTGTATGTATGTATGTATGTATGTATGTATGCAGAGTTTGGCCCTGAAATGTTGCTTTCTGAGCTATCCAAACCACACTGAAACTTTTCCCATTTCCAGGAAGCTCCGCTAGACATGGTGCCCAGAAATTATCCGAAATCTCACTCTTTGCAGTCCAGAATTGATGTTTTATTTCTCATAGACCGAGGCCTCCAGGAGATAAGACCATGCCAGAGGACTTCAAACGCTGTCTGCACCTGTCTTCCTGGCCATGCTCCCAAAGAAAACCAACTTGAGGAGAAAAGTAAGAACCGAGGATGGCGTTTCAGGGAAGAGAGAGAGAGAGAGAGAGAGAGAGAGAGAGAGAGAAATGGGCCCATCCAAAGTCAAACCTAGTGGGATATATCAATCATTGCCCAGGGTGCTGTTTTGGAAAAGGTGATGTTTTTTCTCAAATTTGTTCCCAAATAGGCTTCTTGATCGGTCCTTTTCTTCCCTTGGTGTGGGGAACATATATCTACCCAAGAAAGGGCGCAGAGAAGAGCAACAGAGATGCTCAGAGGCTAAATTGTACGATTGCAGTGTGAACCTGGGTAGGTCTGGCCTAAAGAAGGGTCCGATGTCAACTCGTAAAGCATCCCTGGCCTGCTCTTGAGTTGCCATAGGCAGGAGGGGGCGGGAAAACTGATGGAGCGGCATGGCAGCCACCACCAGAAGCACATTCCATGCATACCTTCTTCAAAGCTGTATCCCAGGCTACCGGGACCAACCGCAGAGGTGTGAGCTCTACAGCCCTCGAAAGTGCTCCGGTTGGAGAATGTGATTTATGACACACCCTGGGGGCGGGGCGGGGGGGGGAAAACAGGGTCATAACAACAGGGTGTAAATTACATGAAGCAGAGCTGGACTTCATTTGGGGATGTGTCGATATGTTGCTCTCCTAAAATAACTGGATTTCTTTTGAAACTTGGCTCGAGGCTCATGCTTTAATTAGGGCATCCGTCGGAACCCTGACATTTGGGGGGGGCATGAGCAGGTCTTCTGGTGCTTGAGGGGGCTGTCACAGAGAAGAAGGGGTCGACTCATTCTCCAAAGCAGCAGAGAGCAGGATGAGAAGAGAGCCAGCGTAGAACTAAGGAGAAATTTTGTGACCGTGAGAACAATTGCAGTTAATCCTTGACTTCCAACCATCCGTTTAGTGACCGCTCAAAGTTGCAACGGCACTGGGGAAAGTGACCTGTGACCCTTTTTCACACTTACAACTGTTGCAGCATCCCCCGTGGTCACGTGATCAAAATTCAGAGGCTTGGCAACTGGCATGTACTTGTGGACGGTTGCAGAGTCCCAGGGTCCCTTTCTGACAAGCAAAGTCAGTGGGGAAGCCAGATTCCGCTCCACAACTAGGTTGCTAACTTATCCACTGCAGTGATTCACTTAACAATGAGTGGCAAGAAAGGTCGTAAAACGAGGCAAAGCTCATGTAACTGCTTAGCAATGGAAAATTCAGGCTCAATTGTGGTCGTATGTTGAGGACGGGTTGCAATCAACGGAAGAGCTTGTTTCCTGAGGTTGTGGGTGTGCTCCATTACTGGAGATTTCCGACAATAGACCGGACAGCTTCTTGACTGGAATGTTAATAGATCTCCTGCCTTGAACAGAGGGTTGGACTAGAAGACCTCTTGAGGTCCCTTCCAGCCCTCTATTGTTCAATTAAGATGGATTTCCTGGCCCAATTAGAAGGGTGTGTAGGAAAGCTGGGATATAAATCAAACACACACACACCAACAAAATAGCCACAGTGTCTCAGAGTTGGCTATCTGTCAGGATTCTGGCAGTTACTCCAATTAAATCATGAGCCTCGAGCCACACTCCCAAAACTAACAAAGATTTATTTGAGGGTAACATTCTACCTCCGGCATTTACCTGGGCGTAGCCAACTCTGAGATACGTAACTCACTGTCACCCTTGATCCCCCACCCCTCTGGGTGTATCACGTCCACAGCTAAGAGTGGAATGCTCTCCAATTAGATTTTTGCGCCTTCAGTCATCTAATCGGCGTTTGAAGAAAATATGAATGGAATGTACTTTCGATTCCACACTGCCGCCTGCTCTTTCAAACTCCCCCCGCCCCACACCTTTCTGTTGTCAACTATAAAACGTGTATACAAAATGTTTTATGAGTTGACACACAGGGGCTCCTAGCCAATCAGCAAATTTTGTTCAAAGCTTCATTCGTTTCTCCTCTGCGTCATTTTGCAGGATGCAAACCCTGTCCCAGAGGGTATTTTTCCAAAGGAGGGAACATGAAATGTCGCCCTTGGACCAAGTATGTATTTCCTTAAATGAACCTCGCGTGAATGGTGCATTGAATGGAAAGGTGTGTGTGTGTGTGTGTGTGTGTGTGTGTGTGTGTGTGTGTGTGTGTTAGCTCTTCCAGGTAGGCCAGGTGGAGAAACCATCCCTGATTCACCCCAATTGGAGTTTGTTGGTTTTGATGCATCCTTGGCTTGGTGGGACTTGTTCAGAAATAAGGAGAAACTTTCTGACTGGGAGAACAATCAACCCATGGAACAGAAGTTGCCCTCAGAAGTTGTGGGAGCTTCATCGCTGGAGGCTTTCAAGAAGAGACTGGACTCCCATCTGTCAGAAATGGTGTAGGGTCCCTTGCTTGGGCAGGGTGGGGTTGGACTAGATGACCTACAAGGTCCCTTCCATCTTTGATATTCTGTAGTCAGTGAAACAGGAGTTGCCTTTGGAAGTTGTGGGAGCTTCATCCCTGGAGGCTTTCAAGAAGAGACTGGACTGCCACTTGTCAGAAATGATGTAGGGCCTTCTGCTTGGGGTGCGGGGTTGGACTAGATGACCCATAAGGTCCCTTCCAACTCTGATTATCTGTTATTTGTTATCTGAAGTGCATCTTGGCTTGGTTTAAATCAGAGGTCTCCAAACTTGGCAACTTTAAGACTTGTGGCCTTCACCTCCCAGAATTCTCCAGCCAGCTATGCTCCTGCCAACTATGCTATGCTGGCTGGAGAATTCTGGGAGGTGAAGTCCACAAGTCTTAAAGTTGGCCAAGTTTGGGGATCCCTGGTTTAAATGGAAGTTTGAATGCTGGGGAGGAAATGCCGTTGGGTGCAGCTGTTCCTTCATGGGTTTAGAGGTATTTCGCTGTTGCCCGATGGCAAGAGAGAGGCCGAGTGAGATAAGGTGGGTGCCAGATGTGTGAACGCTGATGTCAAAACGGATTCAAACTTTCCCCTGTATTCTCTTCGCTTGATAAAAAATAGGAAGTGGGGGGGTGGATTGGCAAGCAAGATGGGGGTGGGTGGGAGCAGGTGCCACAGCGTAACCGGCTGGTTCCCAAAACAAAATGAACGGAAGTGATTGGTGGACGTCATGGACTGTGGGTGGCCAAGCAGGGAAAGAGGGAATGAACTAGGCCTGCTTTTGCGTGGGAAAACCCAGAGCTGGTTTTGCTTCTTCCGTGCCAAAGTGGATTTATTCAATAAAGCTTTATACTCTCGGAAAAAAATAATGTCCCGGAGAGTTTCTTTTCCTGGATTTCGCCAACCGGGCAGGTTGATATCTGAAAAGAGAGCGCGAACGAAATCTCAAGCCCTTGGAAAGCGAGAAGTGTAAAGGAAGAGATTGCAACCTGTGGGGTGTTTTTTTTAAAAAAAAAAATCTCGGGGACTGTAAGACCTGTGGATTTCAGCTCCCAGAATACCCATGCCGGCTGAGGGAATTCTGGGAGTTGAAGTCCGCAGGTTTTGGCCTAGATGTAATCAAGAAATCCTGATTTGAAACTAACCACCCTGGATTCTTTTTGGCACAAGACAGGACGAGTAACAATTTCTACAAAGTGTCGTTGTTATTGTGATTGTGATAATGATGATGTTCAGTAACAGCACCGCATCCTTTTGTCTTGAAATCTGGCTGCAAATGATTCCTTCCATTTTGTAGTTGCACAGCCAGCGGCAGCCAAACCCTACGGCCCGGGAAGCAGGATGAGGATGCGATTTGTGACACACCATCCAGCAAGATTCCCACCCAGGGCACCATCCCGCAACCCACTCCCTTTCCAAAGACCCCTGTCCTCACCATGGAGCTGGATTCCTCTCCGACGGTTGTGCCTACAAATCCAGGTAAATTACCAGGCATGTGTGAAGGGGCGAGGAAGTTTACTCCTTAAAATTTAGAAAGTCCGCAGGGGGAAAAACAGCAGAGGTGGGGGCTTCCTAGAATGTGGAATAAGAGAGCTGAAAGGAACCTCGGATGTCATCTGGTCCAACCCCTTGTTCAGGCAGGAGACCCTATATAGAGTAGAGTAGAGTAGAGTAGAGTAGAGTAGAGTAGAGTAGAGTAGAGTAGAGTAGAATAACAGAGTTGAAAGGGACCTTGGAGGTCTTCTAGTCCAACCCCCTGCCTAGGCAGGAAACCCTACACCACTTCAGACAAATGGTTATCCAATTTCTTGTTTAGAACTTCCAGTGTTGGAGCCTTCACAACTTCTGGAGGCAGGTTGTTCCACTGATTAATTGTTCTAACTGTCAGGAAATTTCTCCTTAGTTCTAGGTTGCTTCTTTCCTTGAGTTTCCATCCGTTGCTTCTTGTCCTGCCTTCTCAGGTGCTTTGGAGAATAGCTTGACTCCCTCTTCTTTGGGGCAGCCCCTGAGATATGGGAACCCTGCTATCATGTCTCCCCTGGTCCTTCTTTTCATCAGACTAGACATACCCAGTTCCTGCAACCGTTCTTCGTATGTTTTATCCTCCAGTCCCCTAATCCTCTTTGTGGCTCTTCTCTGCACTCTTTCCAGAGTCTCAACATCTTTTTTACATCGTAGCGACCAAAACTGAATGCAGGATTCCAAGTGTGGCCTTATATAGACAAATGGCCGTCCAGTCTCTTCTTAAAAGCTTCCAGTGTTGAAGGACCCACAACTTCTGGTGGCGAGCCGTTCCACTGGTTAATTGTTCTCCCTGGCGGGCAATTTCTCTCCTTGATTAGTTTACATCCGTTGCTTCTGGTCTTGCCTTTTCTAGCTTGCAAAGAAATTGGGGGAAAGCAAGAGGAATGAACGCTTCAATCGGACTTTCCTCTTCGGTTTTATTTTATTTATTTTAGGATTTGTATGGATTCTGATCACCTTGGTCCTCCTGCTGGCCGTAGCTGGGGCCTTGGTCCTCCTGTTCTCTTATCGCAGGACGAAGAAAAAGAAACTGGACATTTTGCGCAACGAGATTTATGCCATCCCTTGCAAGGGTGAGTTTGGGGCTGCCGCCGAAAGGCGGGTTAAAAATGTGAGATTGTTGGCTTTGAGGGACTCCTTTCAAGGCCAGATGCGGCTGAATATAAGCCGATGAATTACTCCCCTTTCTTATTTAATAATGTTTCTCCCCTTTTTATATTATTAATATGAGGAGCAGGAGGAGGAGGGGGGCGTTTTACTGCAGTTGGCTAATTGTTTTCTAGTGAAATTTGTTGCCATTCCTGCCAAATGACGAGAAGTCCTCGATGTACGACTGTAATTGGGACCTGGCAGTTGTTAAGTGAGCCACAGCCAATTTTAAGACCCCTTTTTTTTGGCATGGTTGTTGGGCAAATCACTGCAACTTTTAAGCGAACCACGCTTAAAACCAGTCGTTAAGCAAACCCAGCTCCCTCATTTAACTTTGGCTTGTCAGAATTAGCTGGGAGGGTCACCAACGCAGGTCATATGACCCCAGGATGCTGTAACCATTGTAAACCCAGGCCGGTTTACTAAACGCCCAAATTTTGATCACTGCGGATAGACATAAGTGCAAGGACTGCCCCAGTCACCTGTCCGTTGTGGGAATCAAAGCGTCTTTCCACGTTTTTGCATAAACTACACTCGTTTCCGACAACACATATAAACATCAAAGGTGAGCTCCAATTTCCCCCCACCCCCAAAGCCTCTTTCCATGAAACCCAAAAGAAAAGTTTCCGGTTTTATCTTTACTGTTCACTTTGACAATCTTCTGTATCAGGATGCGAACCTTACTCACTGTGGATATTTCTTTGATGATGAAAAAGTCCCTTCTTGGCATTTCCAGCTGGTTGCAATTGGCTGCAAAAGTTGAAGGAGTTAGCAGAAAACGGCTAGAGGGGGCCGTTCTGATGAAAGAAAAGAAAACAGAACAGACAACCACTTTTGTTTCTGCTTGGAAATTTTTGTGCCTGGGGTGGGGGAAAAAAATGAAAACTTTTGATTTGGGGCTTTGCTGGTTAGATAAATTTGTTGCTACAGAAATGACTACTTTACATGATTAGGCAAAAGTTAAAAAGTTGAGGTTTGGTGTTATTATCTTATTCTGCTGCACCCAACACCGTCTCTTTCTTTCCTTCCCTCTTTTGCTACACTTTTCCCTTCCCTTTCTCCCTCCCCTCTTTTTCCTATTCTTTTCTTTTTTATATATTTTATATTATAAACTAATCAGCCAAAAGCATAGGTACGAGAACTGGTCGTACGTCACTTTTTTCAGACCAGTTGTAACTTCTGGCGGTTGCTAAACAAATCTTTGCAAGTCAAGAACTACTTGCAGCTTCGTTACAAGCTGAGAAATGAGTCATTAAAGATTATGCTTAAATTGCAATTTTCATATCATCTTTTGATATCTTTGAAACGTAATTTTTCCCTCGTCTTCTTCTTTCAGAAGAGAACGATTTTCGAATGCCAATCCAAGAACAAGAAGTCGGGGATAAATCCGAATTTGTTCAGGGCTGACCTACGAAAAGGAACAACAGCGATAATAATAATTTTAAAAAACCCGAATTTTGACTTCTGAATCAGAAATAGCTCAGAGTTCATGTTTTTCAACCGTTTCTTTTTTTTTATTCTGAATGAATCAGCGTCTTTTCCGTATCATTTTTTTTTTCCGTTTCTCCCACCTGATACTGTTTCCATTTTTCTTCTTCTTCTTCTTCTTGTGGTTCCTTTTGAAGAACCTGCCCGAATTTATATATTCATATATTTTTTTCACAGCCTTCTTTGTTTTAAAAAAAGAATGTGAAAAACTGCTTGCAAATCATTTTATTCTTCCGTTTTTATTCATCCAAGGATAACAGGAAGACTCATAGTAACCCTTGATTTCTTAGGAAAGTTGAGGCATTATAATCAGAAACCTAAGAATTATAACAAGGAAGTTAGATGGGCCCAGCTGATATTAATATAATTATTACAATAATGTAATAATAATTATTATTATTAATATTTGTTGTTCAGCTTCTAATACTTCAGGCTGTAAATAAGAGCAAGCAATAGTGATTTTTTCAATTTACATCGCGGAATGCAACAGAATTCAATTAAAGCCAAACAAGCTTTGAAGTTAAAATACTTTAAAAAGAGAAGCTGGCAACAGATATCAGCTTTTATAAAAGCAATATATGCCATGTTGTATTTTTTTTAAGTTGAATACCCTTCAACTTTTCGCTCTGTTTCTTGAAGGAAATATTAACTTTACTCCCCAAAAGGGAGCCTGATAGGCATAAATATATATAGATGTAAGTCCTCAGTTAGATCCACTGGATCTCCATGGCTATTCAGGGGATTTTATTGGCACATAAAATGCCAGGGCTGTAATACAAAGATTGGGGTTTGATCTTGCAAAAGACCATCTTACTTGTAGGTGAAATGGTAAAAGAGGTTGTTGTTTCTTAAAAAAATAAAAATAAAAATTAGATTTGCCAGGCTCTTGGTCAAAACTAAGAACAGAGAAAGTTTTCCAATTTAGGGCAAACTTGCCCAGGGAACTGTACAGTTCACAAATAAGGGACACTTATACAATTTGTTGCACTGTAGAATTTGTTCTAATTTCATTAGATGCTGCCTCCAAATGTCTTTAAGTGTGACTTTCAAAGGGACCTGATTTTTGAAACGTCTGTTTGAATGGACTATTTTAAGATTCCGCCGATCATTTTTTTTAAATTCACCCACACCCATCTTGATGATACAAAATATTTGGATCTCCTTTGATTATTCTCTTGCCCTTCTTCAACGTTTTGAAGAGAGGAAGAGGAGGAGGAGGAGGAGGAAGAGGAGGAGGCCTGAGACCTGATGTAAAAATACTATTTTCTTTTTTATTATATAATGTTGAACTGTAAATGTGGTTCCTTTGTAAAATCCTACAAATGCTTTTCATGTCTGTTGGTCTGTTTCTGGCTAAGCTTGTGGGGTGGGTGCGCGGCCAAGTACACTGAAAAACAGGATGGAAATGTCCCCAAATGGAACATCTTCTGAGGTTTGGACCAGAAAGCAGGAGAATGTGAGTTCAAATCTCGCTTTAGGCATGAAAGCTGGCAGGGCCAAACTCCCTTTCTCTCAGCTCACCTCACCCCCACAGGGCTGTTGTTGTGGGGAAAATAGGAGGAGGAAGGTGCCCTGGATATGTTTGTCACCCTGAAATTATTTGTAAAAATAATAAATACAGGATATAAACTGTGTGAAATTTTCTGTGCTTCTTTTTCTTCGCACAAGCATAAAGGTGTATGTCACTTTGGCTAAAGCCAATCTTCTTTTCCTTGATCATCTGATTTTCATTTGCTTCTAGTAATGCTCCAAGCAACCCTAAAGGTTTGTAAATGAACCTCTGAGGTCATCTAGTCCAACCCCCGTGATTCAAGAAATTGGCTTCCCTAAATTCCTGGGCAGATAAGCAAATAACTGGCTTCAAACTTCCGAAAACCCATCACTTCGTTTAGCAGACCAGAATCTGTAAAGCCTCTGACTTGTTTAGCTTTAGCTCTTATACCCTCCACTGGCTGAGGAATTCTGGAATTGAAATCCACACATCTTAAAGTTGCCACGGTGGAGAAACCTTGCTATAGAGTCTTCATATCAAGATGCCTTCTGGGAATTTAGCTATTTTTGAAACCCATCTGGTGGCTGGGAGTTCCATAAGGTAACTTGGGTATAGAAAGACATTACATTATTGAATGGCTTAAATCTAACTTCAGAGAATGCCTCCACATTCTCCTTGTAAATCTGTTTTCCTCTACCAAGATTAGAGAGAAAGAAGAAAAAGAAAGAAAGGAGGGAGGGAAGGAGGAGAGAGAGAGAGAAATAGAAACAGAAAGGGAAAGAAGAGAGAAAGAAAAGGAAGGAAGGAATCTATTGATATGGAAAAAAAATGTGATTTTCTTCCCCAGCTTTTGAGTTTTGACTTCTTCAACCTAAATTTCTTCAACTTAGCAAAAGGCCATTTCTCTCTTAAAATAAAGCGAGAATCGTCCGACCGTTTCTTACAGTTTCTTAAAATTGCCGCAAGCTTCCTGAAAACTGATGGGCCATTTTCCTATTTTATAACAATTTTCCGTTCTTCCTCCTCACACACACACACACACCCCCTTTTTTTTTTTTTGGTACAAATGCTATTTGGTATAAATCTGAAAAGAATATTTTGAAATGTCAACAAACCAATCAATGGCAGAATATATTTTAAAGAAAATAGGGGAATTCTCTCTCTCTCTCCCCCCCTTTCTCTCTCTCCTTCTCTCTCCCTCCCTCTCTCCTTTTCTCTCCCTCTTTCTCTCTCATTTTCTCTCCCCCTCTCCCGTTCTCTCCCTTTCTCTTTCTCCCTCATTTTTTCTCTCCCCCTCTCCCTCTTTCTCTCCC